AGTTAACACAAACAACAGAGGTGACAGTGGGCAGCCTTGTCTTGTTCCTTTCCTTATATCAATAGAGTCTGTCAATTATCCCTCTATCATTACCTTTGCTGTTTGTTTATGATATATAGCTTCTATTGCACGAATAAATTTTTTACCAAAGCCCATCTGCTCCAGCTGTAATAACATAAATCGCCAATTCACATTGTCAAAGGCCTTCTGTGCATCTAAAAATATCAAAGCCATTTGTTTTTCAGGATGTGCCTCATAATATTCCAATGTGTCCAAACTTATTGTCATATTGTCTTTGATTTGTCTCTTTGGCAGAAATCCATTTTGATCAGGGTGAATAAAGTTATTTAAATATTTTTGAGTCTTTCTGCCAATATTGAAGCAAAAATTTTATAGTCTGAGTTTAATAGGGAAATGGGTCTATAGTTCTTGATTTGTTGTGGGTCAGTGTCCTCTTTTGGGACAAGTGTAATATAAGCTTTTGACCATGATTTGGGTATCCTCTTCTTTGACATAATTTCATTCATAACTTCTAACAATGGGAGATGCAACGATTCTTGTAATGTCTTATAAAATTCCGCTGGAAGTCCATCTGGACCTGGTGCCTTTCCATTATTTTGCTTCTTAAGTGCTTCAGTTAACTCCATCATCGTTATATTACTTTCTAACATTATTTCAGTCTCTTTAGGTATCTGGGGTAAATTAGCATTCTGTAAGTACTGTTTAACTCTTTCATCATCAATATTCTCTTGTTCGTATAATTTCCCATAATAATCATGTATGATTTTTTTTCTTCTTTTTACTTCCATAGCAAGCTTGGCCTTGATCATCTATTAATTGCGATATTTTCCTTTATTCTCTCTCCTTTCTCAATTTATATGCTAACCATCTACCTGGTTTATTTGCATCTTCAAAATAGTTCTGCTTCACACCTCTAATTTTCTGTGCTAATTCTTCTTTTTCCATTAATCCCATTTTATGTTTAATTGTATCCATTTTTAACTTAATGTCCTTTTTCTGTGGCAGTTTGTGTAACTTTTTTATACTCATCCTCTAGTGTTTTAGAGGCTTGTCTTTTCATAATATTTCTTTTCCTTGTATAGTCTATTATCAAGCCTCTGGCATATGCCTTCGTTGTATCCCATACATTCTGCATTAATGTGTCTTTTTTATTTTCTTTGAAAAAAAGGCCAGTTCTTTCTCTATTCTCTGTGTAAAATCTTTTTCTTTTAATATAGTGTTATTTAACGTCCATCTAGATCTTCTTTGTCCTTTCCATTTAATTGTCATTGGATTATGATCTGCCCAGGTACTTGTTTCAATATAATTTTCTTGAAGATTAGCAATCAATTCTGTTGACATCCATATCATATCTATTCTAGACCATGATGAATGTCTGGTTGAATAGAAGGCATATTGTTTGGTCTTAGCGTTTCTTTCTCTCCATGCACCTTTTAAATTTATTTCATCTATCATTTTAAAAAAGGATCTAGGGAGAGTCTTTCTGCTTTGCTTTGTTGTTTTCTGTGTTGTATAGTCCAATTTATTATCTACTATTCCATTGAAGTCTCCCATCATACAGATATTAACATAGTCCAATTCAATTATTTTCATATGTAATTTTCTATACAATTCTTTTTGATTTTCATTTGGAGCATATATTGCTATTAGGAGTGTTTTCATACTATTGTCCATTATTTCCACCATTAAAAGTCTTCCATCATCATCTGTACGGACCAATTTCACTGGAATAGCATCTTTGATGTATAAAACCACTCCTCTTTTCTTACATTGTGTCAAAGAAGTAAATATTTTCCCTAGCCTGGGCTGTATCAATAGTTGTTCATGCTGCTTTTTAATATGTACTTCTTGTAGGCAGATTATATCAAATTTTAATTTCTCTAACTTGTGGAAAGTTTTCCTTCTTTTAACAGCCGAATTAAGTCCATTTATATTAATTGTAATCAGTTTTTTCTCTTCCATGATTATACTTTGTAGGCAGGTTTTGCAGCCCTCTTGGATCTTGGTTCTCGTTCTCTAACTTCCACCTTTCTGCCTACAGCACCTTGAGTAGTATTTTAGTCAGAAATCGATAGTCTTTTTTCCTCTCTCTCACTCTTCTAGGTATTTGTTTCAGAACTACAATCTCCTTATCTTTGTATTTCAGTGTTTTTTCTCTTGCCACCTGTAGTATTTGCGTTTTAATAGCTTTCCTTGTAAATCTGATACGAACTTCTCTTGGCAAGCTATTTCTCATTGCATATCTTGTGAAAACTCAAAAAACCTCATCTATTCCATCCATCATCTTCTCTTTAGTTATTTCCAAAGCCTCGGCCAAAATTTCTATCATGATCTCTGCCAGATTTTGTCCCTTTTCTACCTCTATGTTTTGGAACCTGAGATAAAATTCTGATCATCCGAGCATCCCACTCTTATCTTGTTCAACCATGGTTAGTCTGCCATCAATATCTCCAATCTTCTTATCTCTTTGTTTGCCATCTTCTTCAATTTTTCGGAATCTCTCATCATACTTCATCATTATTTGTTGAATGTTCTCCACCTTTCATCAGTTTTTCCTGTTCTTTGTTCAATGTTCTCTGTTCTCTTTTCAATATTCTCTGTTCTTATTTGTATGTTTTGAATTCCTTGCATAATCATCTGCAGCATCACCTTTTCCTGTTCTTTTTCTTGTTGTAACATCTGTATTGAGCGTTGTCCTCCAGATAGTGAAGAGGAAGAAGTGGGAATTGAGGAACCAGCCACTGTTAGTTTCCTACTCATTTCAAACAATTCAAAATCTTCAGGTTCTTCTAGATCTTAATCCACTTGTTTAATGACCAATTGTAATTCCAAGTAAAAATAGTGGAGGAAAAGGGAAAGCAAAAAAAAAAAAAAAGTTCTTCAGGTTCTTCAACACCTTAACCCAATTAAAAGGTCTCAGATATTAAAAAGAGGGAAAAAAAGAGTCACAGAAAAAACCAATATAAAAAATGAGTAAAAAGATGGGAAGCGAGAGGAAAAAAAGAAAAAGAAACAACTCCCTTGAAAAGAAAAAGAAAATTTGATACTAATAATAATACCAAAAAACAGGTGGATGAAAAAAAAATTCTGTTAAAATAAAATATAAAAATAAAAAATAGACTCAAAAACAAAAAAAGAACAAAAACAAACTCCAGAAGGCCAAAAATCCAGGTGGCTATCAAAAATAGTAAGCTAATAAGGAGGGGGTTTGTTGAAGTAGAGAATAGCCCAACGTAAAACAGTAAAAAAAGGAAAGAACACACTGCACCTATTTAAATATCCAAAGTTTTTTGTTAAGTTCCAAACAATTTTATAACTTTCTTCTCTAGAGTCTTATAATCTTCTTTCTATAGATTTCAACACCAGACTCCAGACACTGATAGAAACCCAGAGGAGCACCTGCAATAACTCTCTCCCGTGCTCTTCCCTCTAACTTATCAAACAGGCTCAAAGTCCTTAAGAAGGCTCAAAGTCCTGAAAGAAGCCTCAGTTCTTTCTCCGCTTTGTCTAGTCTTCAATAGTAAAAAAAGAAAAGAAAACAATGTTTCCAAGCATCTAGATAGCAGTGTTACAAATTTTCCTTTACTTTCACTTTCCCCCTCCTTTTTCAAACAAAATGTGTTTTAAGTAATAAAAAATTAACTAAAAATAAAAGAAAAACTTAAAAAAGAAAACTAGCCTAGAATATTATAAGGGCAAAAAAAAGAAAAAAGAAAAAAATAAGGTAGAAGAAGACCAGTCCAGTTTCAAAGTAAAAAATCATACATTAAGAGTCCAGCAGTAAAAAAAGAAATACTAATTTTGACTTTCTGTTTAAGATTGCTGCTTAATCACTTCTGTCTCAAATCTTGCAAGTTCTTACTTTTCCTTAGGGTGTTCTCTCAAATCATAAAAGAAAAGAAACACTCTCACCAAACCTGCACACTTTCTCTTTCCATTCTCTTCTGTTTCAGAGCTGTCCCAACTTCAGCAGCTTTAATGGCTGCCTCTTTGCCACTGGCAAAAAGAGCTTCTCCTGGATCTACCAGGGACTTTGCAATATCCCTGGGATCAACAGGATGCGCTCTTTACATTCACCGTCTCTTCGGGACGGTTTAGATCCGTTTGAACCATTCAGCAACAAAGATATCGGCGGCGATCTCGGATCTTCAAGATTGCACACCATAACCATCGCGATGCCAGCCCTGCCCTCCTAGTTTCTGCTATCTTTATTGTAAGTTTACAGCAACAGAATATTGCAAGTCTGAAAGCATTTTCATCTCCTGTACTTCTACTTTCCAGAAAAGGTGACTCTCTTACAAGACACTTATGCAGCGTCTTTGCTACTGCGCACTGAGATAGCTTTTTGCCTGATCTACTCTATGGCTTTTCCTTCTGGTTCCCAAGGTAATTCCCACACTGATTTATACCTAGTTGTTAAAATGAATCATGCAGTCACTAAGCAAATCTGGCTTCCCCAATTGACTTTGCTTGTTGGAAGCTGGCTGGGAAGGTTGCAAATCACAATCAATTGGCCATAACCATACATCACTGCAACTATCAGAAATGTGAACCAGTTGCCAAGCATCCAAATTGTGGTCATGTGACAGTAGAGGTGGTGTGGTGATTGTAACTTTGAGAATGGGTTGTAAGTCACCAATTCTAAGGACATGGTAATTTTGAACCATTGTTCAATAAACAGTTATAAGTCATGTATGCAATGGGGAGCACATTTAGTCTTGTCATTTAATTTAGAATCTTTTAGAAGGTTTACTGAAGTAGACATGCTTCATATTTGAAGTGAGTACATTGAAGACAGTGAGATGAGAATGATGCAAATGTTATGAAGGAAAGGACAAAATGTGCTTCCTCATCTTCCCACATTGTGAATATAATTACATGATCGACTTCATAAATGAATGCATTCTGTAAATCTGACAAATTCTCAAAAACATAAGGTAAGAGAAATATTTATTTAAATTTTGCAACAAGGAGTATATACTGGACAAATTCAATCAAGAAATGCAATCAAATGAGGAAATACAGATGGTTTTTTCATAAGAAAACATTATGCAATCATGCATTATTTTTACAGTTAAAGGATTTTTTCATAGCTGTAGATACATTGCAAAAAAATTATGTGTTTCCAAACAATACCCTTTTATATAACTTTCGGGATTCTTACAGTTATCAATCAAACAAATTGATATAGACAAGAGAAGTTATATTAAAATATATATTTTGGCCATATATGAGGTGCAGTTTCAAAACTTTAGTAAGCATTTCCCTTCTTGAAGATTTTGACATCTTTATTTGCATGTCATTTTTTTAAGTAGTCCAGTATCATAATGATGTCAAACACAAACATAAACCAGAACTTGAACCTCACATCAAAACATAGATTTATACATCTGAACTTTTTCCTAATCATACACATTTCATTCAGTCTGAGGAACTAGACATCTCATTCAATTCATAGCATTTCTGCACTGTAATTGTATCAAATTAATGTTGTTCCAGGTTTGGCTTATTAATTTTTGGTTTGAAAGTCCTTATGTTAAAGTCCCTATACTTTAACATAAATTGTCCAGGGTTATGATACTGTGTTCACAGTTCTTGCAGACACTGTGGATCTACAGAGCAGCAAATATGCCCATTCTAGAAAAAAAATGAAAAAATATTTTTCAGTAGAGTTTTTTCAAAATTAAGCATGTGTCCCTAGAAACACTGAAATGGAGAGGGGTGGGGGGAAAGCATTCATTAGCACTTGTTGTTCAGCTGTCCATTGAATACACTTTCATTTGATGTTCTAGTTAGATTCAGCAATTTTCATTTTCCACCCTTTAATGACTAACATCACTTAAAATGAATACTTGAATCCCTTTTTTATATTTAATTATTCGATATCTATGCACAGTATATGTATACTCCTAATCTGTATATGAATATTCCTTTAGAAACAGCGCATGCCACCTACCATTATTTTATTTTTATACATAATCAAATATCCTGGAAGTAGTTGTATATAACTAAAGAGTGGATGAAAAAGAACTCTTGTCAATACTTGTGTGATGGAAGCAAAGTGTGCCCTATCCAGCTGTACTCAAAAAATAATTGTTGATCAAAGAGATTATTTTACAGATGCTAGTGCATATGGTGTGTTGTATTTTTTATTCTTATCACAGCTACAAGTTAAATTGAAAATTGTCTTTTCTCTTGATCATACCACAGGAATAGACATAGCTAACAGCTACTGTTATTAAGTATAGCAAAGTTGGCAGTTAAAAGTGTAATCAGATTTCAGGATTATAATAGTTTCTTTTTTTCTTCCATAACATTTTAACATATTATAGGTCAGGGGTCGCCAACCTTCTGGACTTCAGGGACCACCAAACTCATAATTTTAAATCCCAGGGACCACTAACCTGTTCTGTGGGTGTGGCCTAATTTGTGGGTGTGGCTTGGTGGTCATGTGACTGGCTGGGCATAGCATGTATGTAAATATAAATATTTATATAAATATTGAATTTTTTATTAAAAAAGAGAAACTTTTACCCAAAATAAGGCAAAGCAGGCAGGCAGATTGAGTTGATCACAAAATCACAGATTCATTCATAAATCTATCTATCTGCCATTGGCTAGCTCAGTCTGTCACATAAAATTTGCTTGCAAGCAAACCCACAAAATTAACTCACAACACACCATGTATGTAAATATTGAATTTTCTATAAAAAAAGAGCAACTTTTACCCAAAATCAGGCAAAGCAGGTAGGCAGATTGAGTTGCTCACAGAATCACAGATTCATTCAGAGATCTATCTATTTGCCATCGGCTTGCTCAGTCTCTCAATTTTGCTTGCTATGAGTCTGCACTGAATAATAGAACCTTCAGTCCTAAAGGAGGTTTGGCTGTGCTTAAAAGCAGAGCTGAAGATCTAAAGACTAGCTAGAAAGCAAGAAATCCAACCATTTCCTGCTTCCAAGCTAATCTAAATCTCCCAGCACAGCAGAACAGATGATGGTCGGAAAAAGGAAAAATAGCAATTTAGCAGGCAAGTTTTCCGGGTAAGGAGTGAGTGGGCGGGGAGGATTCATGTGGGCCATGTGGGCTGTGCAGCCTTGTGTTTCTGCACAGCCTGGATTAATTGTTTTGGGGGGGGTACTCTGGGGGTGAAATTTCTCTGCGGCCCATCAGTTTTCTCACAGCCCACCAGTGGGCTGCGGCCCACCGGTTGGCGACTGCTGCTATAGGTAATATGAATCTATTTATGTGCATCAGATTATATTCCCATTAAACTGATAGTAATATTTTTCTTAAATGTTGTTGGATTAACCAAAATAAAGAATAATGCTTCCAAACTTCTATCACTTGGTTTAGCTGAAGTAGAAAAGATGAATATTCATGCCTAGAATTCTACCTGTTTGCTTTAACAGTCACAAACTGGACTATGTGTTCCAGCTTTTATGCACATTGATTCTTGGAAACCACTGGGGAATATAACATGAACCCCCCTTTTGAATTTCATGATAAAAAAGGTCAGATATAAATATGCCTCACAAATAACTTACTGTGAATTGAATTTCACTCTCGGCCTTCATTCAAATTTAAATTCTACTTTGATCATTTTCTAAAAATAGCAGAAAGCTGCTGGCTAAATAAATTATATAACACACATAATTTTGCTCTCTCTTTTCCAATCTATCTCCAGTTTGGCGCATTGCTGGCATCCTGCCATCAAAGGCTAAGGGACAGAGGACATGGGGAGGATGAATAAACGGGCAATAAACCTGTGTTAGTGTGTGATGGGAAATAGGGAGGGAGAAATGACAGTTGAGGAAGACCAGGATGCTTCAAACCAGTTCAGGCCAGCCTTCAAAGAAACTGAGATGTTGGGAAAGGAATGTTGATTGCTCCAAACACCAGCTGTTTCCAAAACACCTAGACACTAGCTCATTGGATGGCGTTGGGCTGGACAAGTTGAAGGAGGGGGGAAATGGATCAATAGGAAAGGTTTGTATGTTTTCACATGGGAAATTCAGTTCTGACCTGACTACATGGCACCCAGCATCTTTTAGTAGAAGAACCTGTCACTTCAACTAAATGGAATCAATGATCATTCTTCCCTAAGGGATCGGACTGGGGCAGATCTGACCTTATAGTGTATATAATGCACTATAGTGCAACAACCTACTACTCTTAAATACACATTAGCCTAAATAAAGATAACTTATAAGACTTGATCTCAGAAGTAATTAGGAAGAACTACATATTATTCTATAGCATATATTATTCTACAGAACTATATATTATTCTACAACTGCATATTATTATTCTGCAGCAAATAAAAAGCATGTATTTAGTTTTCCTGTCACATCACTGTTTGCTACTAACAAGAATGAAGAAAAATTTATCACTTTAAATACACTTTAAAACTTAAATATATATATAAGGCTGCACTTAAGGACTAAGAAACTGACCCATGTCAATTTCATGGTATGTCATGGTTATATTCAGCTAAAAGAAATTTTATAATTTTTAATAACATTATTTTATTGCAAATTAAAGTCTTATTCCATTACCTTCCTTTCTATGCAGTCCAAGAACATTTAGAACATTAATATTCTATTTTATAGTATCACATTATGTTCATATAGCAAATAATGAGTCTCATTTTAATTACAATGTTAGTTATTGAATGCATGGCACTGCAAATACATAATTTTTAAATCCACTCTGTTATGAAATAAAGTACAAAAATATTCTGCTTCAAGGACAGCAGTATTTAAACATATCAACCAGAATCTATCTGAAGCATTCTCTTTACATTTTTCTAGATCGGGGTGTCAAAGTGGGCCAGTTCTATCCTGTGGGGTGCTTAGATCTGGCCCACAGGGTCACCCTGGAAACAGTGAGGGACTGGCCTGCAGTGTCTCTGCCAGTGAAAACAGAGCTTGGGAGGGCCACATGCACCCCTTCCAAGCTCCACTTTTGCTGGTAGAGGGTTGCAGGAGGCCGTCCCAGCCAAAAACGGAGCACAGCTCTCATGAGCTCAGTTTTCATTGGCAGAGGAACGAAGCTGAAAACAGCTCGTGAGCCCGTTTTTGCTGGCAGAGCGCTCAGGTTACCACAGGCACCCCCAATACAAGATGTCCACCCCAGCCCACCAAGGTCAAACAAAACCCTGATGCAGCCCTCAATGAAATCAAGTTTGACACCTCTGTTTTGGATTCCATCCTGCTATCTTCCAATTATCTCAGGAAGTTAGTTCTAAGCTAGTTTATTGCTCTCTAGTCAAGGTTCTCTGATGGAGAATTTTTTTAGCCTACATTTCATTCAGAATACTGATATGGTCCTTGATGGCTGACACCAACTTTTGCAGTCACAGTTCAGTGTAGCATTCTCAGTAAAAAATATCAGTTTATTGTAAAGAATTACTTCACAATTCTTTTCTAGGTGAGATATTCTGTTAGAATAACCATTTATATACTAAGCATGTTTGCCTTTTGTTTATGAAGTAAAATAATTGTGCAACAATCCTGAGGATAATGAATTTGAATATATGAATTTGATAATGAATTTGAATACCTTGGAGTCCTAGTGGACAATCACTTAAACATGAATCAAAAAAGCTAACACAATCCTTGGTTGTATAAATAGAGGCATAGAATCAAAATCATGTGAAGTATTAGTACCACTTTATAAAGCCTTAGTAAGGCCACACCCAGAATACTGCATACAGTTTTGGTCACCATATTACAAAAAAGATGTTGAGACTTTGGAAAAAGTGCAAAGAACAGCAACTAAGATGATTAAAGGCCTGGAGACTAAAACATGAAGAACGGTTGCAGGATTTGCATTTGGCTAGCCTAGAAAAAAGAAGGAATAGGGGGAACATGATAGTACTATTCCAGTACAGTATTTGACAGGCTACCACAAAGAGGAGGGCATTAATTTATTTTTCAAAGCACCAGAGGGTAGGACAAGAAATAATGATGAGGGAAGCAACCTGGAATTACGGAGAGACTTCCTAACACTGAGGACAATTGACCAAATCCTTCAGAAGTTGTAGGTGCTTCATCACTGGAGGTTTTTAAGAAGTGACTGGACAGTCACTTGTCTGAAATGGTATAGGACCTCCTTCCTGAGTGGTGGCTGGATGAGAAGACCTCCAAGGTCCCTTCCAGCTCTATTCTGTCTGACTGAAATGGAAGTCTAATTAGCATTTCGTTTTCTTGAGCAACAAGAGAAAAAGGAATCCATACTAGGGTTGGTCTGTGATGCAATAAACTCTACAGTACACAGCAAGAACAAGAATTCTCTTTCATATTTTAAGAACTTAAAAATGTTTTCAGGTTTGGTCTAATTCTAACTCTTCCAGATATGATTTGTTAAATTTTGTTACAAATTTTAAGAAATAATGGAAAATTGATTTCTCTCCAAAACCAATAACTAACCCTTCTTTCTGATGTGAACAATCTCTAAAAGTTGGTTCTTGAAAATATTCCATATTTTTGGCAGGATGAAAAGAATCACCTTTTCAAAATCATAAGCATCATGATTTATATATAAATAGGACTGCTTTGAACAGTAATAGTTTTGTTCATAGAAAGCAATTCTGTGAGTAGTAGAAAAAAATTGGACAAATGAAAATAAATTAGATTGAACAAAAATCTGTACTGTTCATTTAGTTACAGATGTATCACAGATGTATTCTCTGCTGCAGATGCAAGGTATTTTTTATAATACTCATTTTCCTGATATCATACCCCAAAAGACTGCAGTGATTATATTAAGAAGCAAAGAGGAAAATCTTGACATTGAACAGATATTATTGTTTTCTAGGGGCCTAGAGTTGACTAGTATATTGTCTACACAATACAGTAATTTTATAATGGTTCTAGTTTTATATTGATTTCATCTTTTATATTGATTTTAGGACTAGCTTGCCCGTTATAGATTTTATAGTTTTGACTACTTGTTATTTGAGTTTATTGGGACTTACCATGGCAGTTTTAATTATACCTTCATATATTTTGTATATTTTTTCCTCATTGTCATGTGATTTTTTTAAAAAAATTATTATATTGTTCAATGCTAGTCTTTGTCCATAATAACATATAAGTTTCAAATTTCAAGAATCAGTACTAATTTTAGTTCAGAAAGAATTATACAAAGTATGTTTTATCTCTTGTGTTTATTTATAAATGAAAAACAATTTTATTCCAATTTCCTCCTAGCTTATGCATTTTAAAAAACTACTAGAATCCTGTAAGTTCTTCACTCCTTCTATATTAACATTTCTTCTGGAATACCAGATCCAAATTATCACATGCATTCTATTTTCTGAAGGAAAAAAATGACAGTATTTGCCTTTCTGATTTTCTGAAATATAAAAAGATTGTCATCATCAAAATACCATAATTCTCTCTGACAGTTATTTGTTTTCATAGAAAATTGAGCAAGGGGGAAGGTTAAGTTATAGCTTACATATCTGGAAAATAATTTGATATTGTTCATTAATTTATCTGAACAGAATCAATATATTTCAATAAAAATATGTATTTGCTATTTTTATCTGCAAAGTCATGTAGTGCCTGGCATAAATAAGAGTGATATGTGAACATAATTTTGATTTTAATAAAATTGGAATGCCATATATTTCAGCTGTAGGAACCTAGAGCAAAGATGCAAATGTTATTACATTTTATAAAACCAGCTAAAGAAAGTTCCACTTTTCCATACCTTGCATTGGCAGAGAGTGCATTCTGTGCCATGCTTGATCCAGGATGATCCAGTGAATCGGACTACATTAATTTCATCCAGACAAGTCTTGGTGATATCATTTTTAATGGTGTCTGCATGACAAGGATCAATGACACAATGTGGGCAACACTCATTCTCAGGGAGTATGCTGAATTCACAGTGCATCTCAGGACAAGACAAAGGCCAGCAGTCAACCTCTCCCTGCTGTTAAAAAAAGCAGATCAAAAGTTATGATGTATGTTGTAATAATATGTATATATTTGAGTATGTATGTATTGTATATATACCCTATGTATGAATAAAATCACTGTTATTGTTTGCTAATCCATGAAATATAGAAAGCCATCTGATTGCTGCCATGGGCTATGTGCTACGAACAGTCACTTAAGTCAGTGGTGGGATTCAATTTTTTTTATTACCAGTTCTGTGGGTGTGGCCAGGTAGTCATGTGACTGGGTGGGCATGGCTATGTGGTTTTTTCCCTTTTGCAGCACCCCCCCCATGCCCCATTTTTTGGCCTACTGGGCCTCAGGAAAATTTCCTGGCGAGGTAAGTACAACAAGGGGGGGGGCGGATCAGCTGTGCTGCATGATTTAGATTAGCTAGAAAGCAAGCAATCTGATGATTTCCTGCTTTCTAGCTAATCTAAATCACGTGGCACAGCTGATCGTCAAAAATATAGGTTCAGCCAAACCGGTAGCATTTTTTTTTTACTACCAGTTCAGCCAAACCGGTAGCATTTTTTTTTTACTACCAGTTCAGCCAAACCGGTAGCATTTTTTTTACTACCAATTAGCCCAAACTGGGCCAAACAGGTAGAATACCACCACTGACTTAAGTTATTAATGAGACTTCCAGGAAAAATAGAGATATTTATACAAATTTTTCATATTGTACACTTGTTTTGAGCCAGTTTACTCCCATAGAGACTATTATATATTTGAATTAGATCAGGACTTCAAAATATTTAAATTGAGCTTAGAATCAGGCTTATACATGGCTTCATGCAATAAACTGGAAATCTATGTTTAGTTCAAATCTATTTGATATTATCATGTTGTGATTTTCCATCAGTAACAGTCCTACTGAGACCCATAGAACTTATTTTTAACTAAAAACAAATTGTTTAATATTCTAGCATATCCTATCCTGTTCATTTGTAATATTTATGTGTTTGCAAGTGCTGAAACTGCATAATCAACATTAAACAATTAAAGGTCCATTTCAGAAACCATTGCTTAAATCACATTGTCATAATTAAGCACTGAATTATTGTTTTACTTTAGATTTTAATAGGCCTCAGTTATGCCTAACTTGATCTGAATTGCCCATTATCTTGGAGAACTTTTCCCTGTGTGCTGTAAAGGAATTTTAAGTCAAATATTTGCATTATATTTTAGTTGTTTCATTTTTTTCCTTGCAACCATAATACCAATGCATTGCTTTGATGCCAAGATTCATGATGTCTGTCTTCTGCTACAGTGTGTACTTGTCACTTATCTGAAATTTTACTCAGGATAAACAACAGTTAAGTTATTTATAACACTTTAACTGTGCCAAAGTCCATTTGAGAACAAAAAGTGAATAAATGAATAAATAAATAAAATACTGGGAAGACTTACGAAACATCGGCACTGTTGACAGTTTTGAACCCATGTATCCCCACTATTGTATACAATCTCCCCACTTTGATGTAAACATTGACTATTCAGCCTTGGATCACATTCAGGGCAGCAAAATAAATCAACAGTGGGATTTTCACAGTCACAGACCATCCGTCGGCACATTACATAGCCAGTCTGCCATTGTAAGAGATAAATAAAATGTCACTTATGTTACATTACTATGTCATAAAAAATAAAGGAAAAACATTTTGCATTTTGCATTAGTTTGCAGCATGAAAGTTAAAGACTTTTAAAAGCATATTTAATTTATAATAAGGATGACCTAAAGACAATATTATTTACAATTGGAAAAAATTATAGTGATTATCCCTACATAGAACACTGAGTTAGTTAAACCATTCTTCTTCTTCAGAATAATGTCCTAGTTATGCTATAAATTATAAGTCTGTTCATGTTAATAAGTGAATACTAATATCTCTCATGTAGCACATCAACCCACTCTCCTAAAAAAAAAAACACCTGTTTTCAGCTCTTTCTCATTTCTTACTTTCTCACATTCCCACAGGATCTCCCAACTCACTTGGCAAGAGCAAATGGAGCATTTATCATTTTCCAACACCCAGATTTGTCCATTGTGTTTGATCTTCTCTTCATGGATACAGTCTCCTGTGCAGTTCTTTCCATGAGGGCATCGACAATCATAGCCTCCATCCAAATTAAAACAAATCGTGTCATTGGCACAGCTGTGCCTCCCAGTTCCACATTCATCAATATCTGTAGAAAAAGGAGGATGCATCTGCCATTGGTCAATAAAAGAATCCCTAGTAATTTTCAGTCAAAAGGCCTGAGTTCCACACTAACTTATAGCAAAAATCTATTTTATTGTAGTTAATTATAAGAGCAATTAAAATACATGAAAATAGCAATTGTTTAGTACTGTGTATCAGAAGGCAAGTCAAAGATGATAGTCGTCTATACAATGTTATATCAGGTCACATGTTGTTTTACTTAAATGTTTCAAAAGGTATTGAGCTGACAAATTCAAGTAGCTAAATAAAAGAAAAAGAAAAGAAAAAGGAAAGCAAGAAGGTTTGTCCAAACGTCTTTTGCAAAGAATTAGAGGCTCTAAACATTTACACAAATGCTTGTTAGAAATAAGAAAGTGCTATGTATCAGTAAAATTCAGTGTTCATATTTATTCATTAGAAAGTATCAAAAGTATGTCTAATTTACCATTTTGAATACATCATACACTTCAAAAATATTATCCTACTTTAATTAGAAGCAACAAAATTTGTTGGCAGCAATGAAAATATAGATAATATATAAATATATTCATAAGGATATATATCACTTAAAGGCTATAGAATTTCAATAAATGAATGCTTCACTGAGTTATATTTATCTTGTTTTAGGACTACTGTGAAAAGTTCAAAAGGATTCACAGTTTTAAATACCACTCTTTTTTCAAAGATGTGAAGAACCAAACTTTACTCAAACTTTAGCCAATTATTGCTTTATGCGGCATATGTAACTATTTTCACGCCTGTGGCATTTCAAAAAGCATCCATTATACAAATCTTTGCAACTTCTGCCTCACAGATACTTTGAACAAAATAAATGAGGAGAAATGAATAAACACAGTGAAAATACTGCATATGTACAAAATTTCTCAAACTATTAGGAGCTGCTTCTGTTATATACATATTTTTCTTTGATTTCTTTTTCTTCTGTTTTCACGTTCATTTTTGATCTTATGATATAGGAACAAATGATTCCCCAGAATATACTTAATCTTACTAATACGAGCAAATGTATTATTATTAATTTTAAAAATGTGTATGATGACAAAGAATTGGTTCAGATGTGAAGAATGGTGTTCCTTCAAAGAGACCATGCTTGTGAAGTCCCAAGCAATGATTCGCACGGTCCTACTAATGTGTGTGTGTGTGTGTGTGTGTGTGTGTGTATGTATGTATATATATATATATATATATATATATATAAAATGCTTGTTTAAAAATATTGTGATAAATCACATGTTTAAATAATATTTTTAATAGCAAGGGCATTTTTCTAAGTTTTCAATGCATAGATTGAAATGACCAGGAACAGATAGATATAATTTTTCACAGCTTCAGACACCATCATTGGCATTTATTTACCACTATTCATTGGTTACTATTTGACTGTAATCATGGCAAGTATTGGAATTCTTGCTTGTTTGAAATCAGTGGGGAATATATTCAGTTGCAGGCATAATTTGGACATTTTTACTTATGAAAAATACTTAGTTAAGAGATAATTGTAGATTGAAATGCTGCCAGTAAATTTAATAAAATGGATCTTAGAATGACTAGTTCTTATTAAACAATTTAGCTCAGAATGCTTCTTAGCAAATTTTCCAGTTCAACTAGCAATAATTATTTTGACTTTTTATTCCTAATGTTATTATTCTTTATGAAATTTCATAATTGGTAGCAATTTTAGGGGCTTGAATTGTGACACAACAGTTTGCTTGCAATTGCTGTGTTATTGGAATGCTATTAGTGGGCATATTGATTCAGATGGATTGATTTTATCACATTATTGTTAACAAGTGATTTCAGATCAGTTGCTGAATGGCAAGAATATATCCATACAGTCTTTTTTATTTTGTAAGGGGAATTGAATATTTTAAGGAATAAAAGAGACAAAACATCACCCTGCATCTGATTTGCAGCAGTAAGTTGCCAATATCTATTGCTTGTCAACATTTGAATTATTATTATAAAATTTAGACAAAAGTTAATAATGGATACAAATAGTTCCTCCACATTATTTTCACAATTATACACACATATATATTTTGTTGGTTTATTTGATGTAATTTCAACTTTTTATTATTCATTTTAAAGATTCCATTAATTTCTCAGAAAATAAGAATTTATTTTTTATTTCTCTTACACCATATATTGATAACTTTTTTAAAAAAATGCAATGACCTTTTATTTCCTAAATGTTGTATTAATATTTCATAGAACCCTAGATGTTTCCATCTCTTCTGAGATATTTTTATTTTGTCAGCATTAAAAAAATATATTAAGCATGTTCAGAACATTACATCACATTGCTATGTATACTTAAAAAGATTGCTGTCTTAAAAGCGATTCATATAGAGCTAATGTAGATATCATGTTTGCCTTATAACCAGCTAAAAAGTTAGTGAAGACAAATACATACAAGCTATCATTTATTCATAAAACACAAATACATATTTTCTCCAAATGGCTAGTACCCAATGTCAACTCACTAGGGAATTAGATTTGAGCAACAATTGCACATTAAGAATTATACTGTTCAAACGACTAAGATACAGCATTAGTAACCACATTGATTTAGTTATTTCAAATTTATATATTAGAGATGTGTAAGTCAAAAATAATTTCACAGTGTTCCTTATTTTTTCTTTATTTTGCTTTCATTATGTTTTTTTTTTAGAAAAATGGCCAATGTTTTAAAGATAAGTTTTTAGAAAAATGGCCAATGTTTTAAAGATAAGTTTTGCTCTTTTCTATTTTAAACAATATAATTGCCTCACAGCTTTATAAAGCTGTGTAGCATTGCAGCAGATAATGATACTTTCTTAGTCTAAAAGTGATGCTGAGTGTTCTGTCTTTTAAATTCCTAGCTGAATATAAAGACAGACAGGCTTCCATACAAAGTTTCTTTATTTGGTTCACAAGGCATCCTCAAATATAACTCATGGTTACATCGAGATTCAACTAATGTCCAATTCTTTGCACAGCTGACTTCATAGTGTAAAATTATAGTGATCTTTCATCCCATAACGATGGAGCAGAGAGGGTGAAACACCAGCACAATGCTGGGGTCCGAGCAAGAATAAAGGAAACTCCCCCAACCAAGGAAGGATCAATTCAGTGACCAATCAGGATTACAGATGTGACCACATGACATGAACTACATTTCCCACGATGCAATAACTACATTTACCATGAGGCATTCCCTTAAGGGGACAGCTCCCAATTCTAACTTAACTATCTCAATTCCCAATTACCTATATATACTGTCTGGACAGCAAAAATAGATTGGAGCTTCCTCTTTATCTGCTCTGTCTCAAACGTTCCCAGAATATCTTTATGGCTTTGTAATACTTGAATAAAATCTCTATAAATCCAGTACCTCATACATAATTAGTGGATTAACTGAACAAAATGGCATTGTATACACTGGCTTACAAGCTCCGTTTAGATGCTACATAATCCCTCTATATTTGTTGGGAGATTACTGCATTAGAGCAATGTCTTCCACTTTCAACATGCCTACCGGCTTGATTATGGTTTTGACTGTAAGTGTTTGCTCAGAAAATGTGGATAAAGAGGACAGGTAGCCCTCAATTTACAACCATTCATTTAGCAATCATACAAAGTTACAACAGCACTGAAAAAAGTCTTTGCACTTATGACTGTCACAGTGATAGCACGATCATGTGATCAAATTGAGGCACTTAACCACTGGCAAGTATTTATGACACTTGCAGCATCTGGGGTCATCTGAAAGCTTTCCAACCAGCTTCTGGCAAGTAACCACATGATTCACTTAATAACTGCAGTGATCATTTAACATTAACATGGGGCAAAAAAGTTCATAAAATTGCATGTGATTCACTTAACATCTACCTTATTAAGCAAAAGAAATTTGGATCCCAATTATGGTCATAATTTGAGGACAACCTGCATATGATCAGGCAATTTCTGTACAATCATAATTTTATAGGTGGACTATATACTAAAGGTATTGATTACTAGATTTTCAGCAAAGGAGAGTATTTTTTTCTGAATAAAACCATTCTGTATTGTTTTTGTTTTTGCTTTACATATTTAATATACTGTACATTTTAAACAAACCTTTTAATAACCTATAAACGTTTACCACCAGTAAAATAATATTATTCTGCTTTTATAATTTGTAGAAATTCTGCAAATAAGGAAAAAAAACCTGTATAGCGGTATTGCAAACTTAGCTGTACAAAGATTAGGCACTATATAAATGGCAATTATTTAGTGGGCCTGTACTTGGTACTTCTAAGATATTGTTCTGAAATGAAACTTTAAAGTATATCTACGTAGAAGCTTTGTATTCTGTTTCTCAAGGAAGACTATACAGCACATTCTGTAATGAACTATTTAAATCAAGAAGAGGTAAGAGGAAAGAAAACCTCTTTCATTTTGATAGCACTAAGATTTACATTTTTATTCAATCTTTACATATTAATTGTCTAAAATCTAAATATAATTAATCTTACAGGAGTAAAGAAATTTCTCTTTTCTTAGAAGGAAAAAGCTGTCTGAATGTATTATAGGAGAAGACCAGTTCATAAGGAGATGAGTCTTCCTATGAAAGTAGACAATACCTGTTGGTATTCTAAATTTAGATTGCGCATCACAGGATAGAGTCTAGGAATGTAAGAAACCCATGAAAGCATCCATATTTTTTCAAATAAAATTTATTCCAAAGTACTTGAAAATATTAAAACTAGGATACAAAATACTTTCCCCTCTATAATTTTAGAATCTCTTCCTTCTCATCCATTTTCCCAGTCCCAAAAAGCTGCCAAAAGTCTACCCAATTTCATGGAATACGAATGTGCATGTGAACATCAAGTGATATTTCCAGTTATCTGATGAAGGCATACTGCTTATTCCATTTTGTTCAACATCCAGAATATCAAAGGAATATCTGTAATGTGCACAAACTAGCTTAATCAAGCCTTGACTTTGCCTTGGTTTGTTGTGAATATATATGTTTCAAAATTTATGATTCTCACTGTTTCTCTCTATCTATTTGTATTTTCAAAGGCACTAGGAAGGGTGTCCCCAACCCTTGCCATGGCCCACTGCCATGCCTTGTGTGGTATGCCTTGTGTGGAACCACCCTGCGGAAGTGGCGGGCAAGCTCATGTGTGAGCACATTTTCATTTGTGTAAGCCCAACACTTGTTCAAATGGAAATGCATGTGCCTGCACTCTTGGCCATCACTTGCACAGAACCATCTCCTCTCCTCTTCCCACCCTCTGGTCCACAAAGGCAGAAGCTTGGGGAACTCTGCATTAGAAAATGCTCTTAAACAATGTGGGTAGGGATATTTCTCTCACACAGACCCCGAAAAATTCCTTACGTGAATTTTCTACTTAGTTTAAGATTAAGACTGAATTGAGGTCATTTATTCTTTCCACGATATCCCACATTTCAAGAAGGCTCTAAGTCTTCCCAAAATATTTTAGGGAAAGCAGATGTTGCAGAAAGAGCAAAGAAATTAAAAGCTCTTTTGGGGTGACATGGAAAGAGGTGAAGGAAAAGTATTTTATGTGTATTGATGTGATATTGATTTTTTTCCTGAAGTAAATTGCAATGGGTCAGATTGCTGAAATAATGCTCAGTTCCAGATAACCCCAGTTTTGTGGGGATATAAATTGCAATAAAGATAGTGTTTGTTTGCTATTCTATTCCCTTTATAAGTTCTCTGGGCTCAACACAATTATTTCCTAGCCTAAATCAAGACAATTAGTATCACTCAAACACAATTTCATAGGAATATCAAATGAAGTATGATGCCCCTTTACCGACCTTCACATGATTCTCCACTAGATGAAAACATGCCATTATCGTGGTAACCATCCCTGCACTCACAGTGGTACCATCCAGGTAGGTTAATACAGGTGGCACGGCTGTCACACTGAACAAAGCCATCTGAACATTCATCAATATCTGCTCAATAAATAGAAAACAACATAAACCATAGTATCAGTCCACAGAAATGGCTGTTGTTTGTGGACACATAAAAGAAATTGATACACAAAAAACATTTACGTTCTATAAAATGACATAAAAGGAACTGAAGTATCTTTTTTCAAAGATGCAAGATGAGAAATAAATGTGAATCATGAACAAAATAACGCCATTAAAATACTCAATATTGTTGAAACATTTCTAATTTAGTCAATGAAGATAAATGAGAAGCATATTTTGTGTGTTACTGCCCATAGCAAGCAGAAAAAGTCATTCCATCCGGAAGGTTATTTCTAACTATTATCTCTTCCCCTATGTCTTACACTATCTTTTCAGAGAAGAAAAAGGACATATTTATCTCTTCATTTAACCCTAAATCCTAATACCAATTTCTTTCAGCTCTCCTCCTATATCATTTCATTTATTTCAATCTATTTATTACACATATTCTATTAATTATTCCATTCATATTTAAACCAAAATAAAAAATAAAAAGGAAAATCAGCATTCCAATCCTCAAAGTATTTCAATATATTTGATAAACATATTCCATATATTTATTGTATTTACCTCTTAAAAATAAAGGAAGAGAACGTTGCCAAAAAATAACAATTCTATTATCCATCTTATATGTCCCCATTTCACAACTACAAATTTGTCTATATTATTCCCCAGCACCTTGCAGAATCCCCTCTCTCAGTATCATTCAACCATTATCTCTGTGTAAGAAATTTACCCCCATTTTATAAAAATTCCTATATTCCTTTGTTCCCAAATCCTGTTTCTTTCCCCTTCTTTCCCCTAACATTTCCCCCTCTATTATTTCACTCCAGTTTTTAACCCCTTCTCTGTTCTTAGCTACCTTCCGCCCTTCGGATTTCTGCTGATTCTTTCCCCTTTTTTTAATTTCCAGATATTTTCCTCTTTATTCAATTTCCCAGACCTCCAATATTTATTCTCAATTCTTTTTCTCTTTCCTTCTGGATTCCTTTGTTCTCGATGGTGATTAAAGATGGCCCCTTCTGAAATTTGCTCCACCTCTTCTTCTGTACTTTGCCTTTGTTGTTCATACTCTGCAATCGCCTCTTCAAAAAAAACTTAAAAACGAAGCCCAAAGTTTCACCTCTTTCTTGTAAGGTTTCCTTAACGTTTCCAAGTTCCTTTTTTAGTGTCTGAAGAGATATCGCCATTTAACAATTTTCTATTTAATCCAGTTAGTGTCTTTAAAGTTAATTTCCAACAGTCCGCTTTTGTTTCCTTCCTCTCAACTTTTAGTCCTCAGCTAGTCCAATACCAAGTCCATAACAGAATCAACAATTAATCCAAGGGCAGAATTTTCCTGTGCCTTTCTTTACTTCAATATTTCAATTTTCCAAAACTCTTATTTTATTGTATCAATTTTCCTTATATTTTTAAGAAACAGAGTCTTTTTTTTAAAAAGTCAAGTTAAATTTAACTCAGATGGCACTCTTTGTTCTAAAAAATCCACACCTCCTCTTTTCTTTTCCTTCCCAATTATTCAGAGCTTTTCAAACCACAATCTTCCAAAAAGATCAGATCCAATTAATATAAGTTTCCTCTTTAGAGATCTATAGTTCAGCTTGAATTAGTGCTTATATAATGAAGAAAAATGTCAAGGCTTCTTTAGCTGAGTACACTGTCAATCTGGCACAATGCCAAGAGTTAGTACAAACTAATGGTGTGAATAAAATTGTAAAGATGTTTGTTTTAAAGTCAGGAGAGAAAAAATCAGCTCTGCTTGAAACTGGCAACTATAAAATTGCAAAGAAACTGCTGGAATCCTGACAGAAACATTGTTTCAAAATAGTTGAGTCTGTTATATTTCATTGCCACAAATGAAAAACTGTAAACAAACTCTCAGTACTCATGAGGTTTATGGAAGGATTTCTTTTCTGCAATATTTAACAGTAGATACACTTATTTATTTACTGCCAAAAATGGTGGTCTCTCAGAGATTAGTACTCTAAAGATTTTTCCTCCAATGTATCTTCAGCAGCATTTGACTATAGAAAATAAGTATTAAAATTTACAGGCTTCATTGACATCAACATAGGTTACATTGCCTTTAAGTGAATTCCAATTAAGTTTGCTCATAGTTTAGCTGAGAATTTATATTCTGCCATTCTATAAAGGAAGGAAGGAAGGAAGGAAGGAAGGAAGGAAGGAAGGAAGGAAGGAAAATGTAGTCAAACATTAAGAATATAGGTTATGACCATTCATTTAACACTGGTTCAAAGTTAACAGCCTCAGGAAAAGTGACTTGCAATCAATCCTCAAAGTCATCAGTCACATGATTACATTTTGAGCATTTGGCACCTGGTTTGTATTTACAAAATTTGAAGTGACTTACAATCACGATTTACAATCTTCATGATTTACAATCTTCCAGCCAATTTCCAACAAGCAAAGTCAGTTGGAAAGCTGTGTTCACATAACAACTGCATTTAATGACCATGTGATTTGCTTAACGACTGTGGTAAAAATGGTAATGATGACTGATTTAATGACTGCATTGTTTAGCAATTGAAATTTCAGTCCCAATTGTTGTTGTAAGCTGAGGAAAACTATAGAACAGGAAGAACCTAACCTAATTGTATGATTATACAAGCAAAATTAAATCTTAACAACCTATCTGCAAATTGACCCATAGTTGCATTGACTGATTTTGCCTTGTTACTAATCTCCAACAGTTTAGATTCCTGAAATATTCATAGCCAAGCCTATCTCTAAATCAGGATTTAAGATTGAATTACGGGAATGAAATTAAAATTTTATGGATAACACTGTTTGTTGGATTTTATGGATAACACTTTAGTTTGTTGGGTTTAATTTTTCCTTTTTTGAGGAGGACTTAACCATGAAAATTATACATTTAAAACATCTGATCAGAGATGGTATTCAGCAGGTTCTGACCAGTTCTGGAGAACCGGTAGAGGAAATTTTGAGTAGTTCAGAGAACTGGCAAATACCACCTCTAACTGGCCCCGCTCCCATCTATTCTCTGAGTCGGCTGGGTCTTTTTTTGTTGCACTGCACAGGAGAATGGAGTTGGAAAGCAAGTTAGTGGGGTGGGGAGGGAATGGGATTTTGCAGTAACCTTCCCTCAGGAGTGAGGAGGGATTAGGGATTTTGCAGTAACCTTCCCCCAGGAGTTGGGAGGAAATGGAGGTTTTACAGAATCCTTCCCCTTGAATAGGGGTGGGAATGGAGATTTTGCAATATCCTTCCCCAGGAACGGGGTGGGAATGGAGATTTTACAGAATCCTTCCCCTGCTACACTCACCAAGCCACACCCACCAAGCCATGCCACGCCTAACAAGCCACACCCACAGAACTGGTAGTAAAAAAATTTGAATCCCACCACTGCATCTGATGTACCCATACATTCCCTTTGGAGTAAGAAGCATTATGTAAAGTGCAGAAAAGCAAAACAAATACTAAATGAAAATAAGCCACGAGATATACAAAACAAACAAAAATCTAGATAAATCTAATGTATACCAACACAATAAACTACACCTCTTCATATCTTTTTCTTTGCAAAGAATTTTTGCTTCCACCAGGTCAACACTGCTTTTTGTCCTCTATTTTTTTCACCTTCTCTTTTTTGGGAAACTCATCAACTGCATTGGCCACATTTCTCTCAGTCTTCCTCTTCCTCTTGCTTTATTCACTCTTCCTTCCTTCCTGTTGAAAGCAAATATTCTACAAAAACTAGGAAGCACATAAAAATCCAACTATCTAAGGATGCTGGGTTTGGTTAAACCATCCCCCATATACGCTTAGGGATACTTTATTCTAAATATAGGAACTGCTGATTCTTTTAAAATGAGAAAGGAGAAATGAAAGAGGGACATGTAAGAATGTTAATGACATTATTCATTGTATTTTCTTTAATTATATAATGGACTATAAATCATAAGTGAAAGTGCTTGGAGTGAATTATGAGGTCATTCTTTATGCTTTTCCCAGTAGAACAAAATATAATATATTGCTCAACTGCTGCCAAAATTCATGTTTTATTTATGTCACATGTATATTTAAGAGCTAGTCAACCCAAATATAGCAGCAGCACACAGAAAAAACTGCCATGAGACATAACTAAGACCTTCTTCTTCCTATATTTGAAGAGGAGCAGACTTTCCTGTTCCAGAGGATTTGGGCCATTAAATTATGCATGGATGATAGGAAGGGATAAGAAAGCTACTGGGTCCAAGGCACTTATGCTCTTAATGGAAATTTGATTTTCATATTTAGATCTAGCATTGTCCTTCTCAATATGAAAGAAAACCCTCTCTAAAGCTCATAAATACTAGTAGAGATTTTCAGAATAGGAATACTTATTTATAGGAGAAGAAAGTATCCCCCAATGCCATGGGGGACAATGGGAAGGCCTCTTTCATGGAAAGGCCTCTGTCATGAAAAATAGAAAAAGCAGTGAAAATGAAAGAATTTATAACAGAAAAGGCGAACAGCTGTAATCATATGCTGCCAAACATAATATTTACATACTTATTTACTTACTTACCCAATTCAAAACAATTGTGGGTGGGTTACAACACATTTAAAGTAAGATTTAAAACAGAAGTATCAAACTCACATCACAGTGGCATCACGTGATATATCGGGACTCCCCCCCCCTTTGCTAAACTGGGTGTGGGCATGGCCAGCACATGACGCATCTGGCCCAGAGGCCGGGAGTTTGACAGCCCTGGTTTAAAATATCCAACTTTAGGAACAAACTAGCAACCAAGCACAATCACTCAACTCCATAAGACAGCTCTTAAAAGCTTATTTCAAAATTAAGGTCTTCAGTTCCTTTCAAAAGTCAACAGGACTAGGCTCATCCAAATTTCGGAGAGGAAGCAACTGCACAGGGTGGGCACCAGAATAAAGAAAACAGATTGTATCTAAAGAATAGCTAATGCTTGGGAATGGAACTTAAACTTTTCTATCTG